AAACAGAATCTAATTAAATTCAGTGGGGCTTAATTTGGAATAGGTATGTACAGGATTGCATGGTGAGTCTCACAATTTAAACAAAGTTGACAAGGATAAATGCCAGAGGTGTTATAATAGAACAAAAGAGGAGAAAGCTATCTCTGGAGGCTTCTTTCATGGCAACAACTCTCCTGTAAAATAGAGTAGTTGTATTGGGGTGTTCAGGGTAGCAACTACATTCACACACAAAAAAACCAGCATGGTGGTTAAAAAGGAATTCTCTGTTCCCTGGTAATGTGTACCTTTTGTTTAAAGGATGCAGGGACTTAAACTGGAAATGAGTACTGATGACTCGGAGAAATGGGAGTTGTGTGTGTCAGCATCGCCCTTGAGCCAGTGCCACCAACTGGACTCATCCACTTCAGCCCCGACTGGGCTAGGCGAGCTGGGTAGCACTTCCAGAGACCACCTTCTGCACAGGAACAGGTCAAAGTGCTGTGGACTCACAGCTTAGAGTTGTGAGCACCGGATTCACTCCCACAAGAAGACAGTCGTCGCACAGCAGAGTACAGCAGAGTCTAGCAGAGTATATAAACAACTCGGAGAGCAGCTCTGTAGAATATCTTCTTTATTCTATAACTACAACTATTATACAACTATATACAGAGCTAAATAGGTCTAAGCATAAATGAATGCTGCACTGCACTGAGTGTCTGCAGCTGCTCTTAGCAGCAACCTTATCTCTACACACGATCTCTAACCACTCAGTCTCTCTCTCTCTCTCCGACACTGACTGACTGACTGACTGACTCGGTGCTGGAGCAGAATAAGTAGAGAGCAGAACACGCCTCCTCCTCTCTGTAGAATCAGCAGACTCCTCAGGAGATTCTTGGATATGGGAGGGGTGAAATCTCCTCAGTGTGTTGTGGTCCCCAAGCCACCCCAATAACTCACACATCACACATAATTTTTGTTTAAGGTTTTTGGCATAATTTTGGCCACAGCTTTATTTAAATACATAACTGTGAGTGGTTGCTTAGGTATTGGTTCTGACTATCTGTCCCCCCGCCTAGGGACAGAACTGACTTCCGGATTCCAGCGAAAGCCAGTCGGGGAAAACAAAATCGGGGAGACATGAAGCTGGGCACCAGACCCTCACCTCTCCCCGCATGCTCCCCGAGCCCTTGCATGGCCCAAGCCCGATGCCAGGGACTTGGACGAAAGCATGGCAAGCCCCTGGATTCCTTTAATGGAATTCCCTTGCAGCACCAGCATTTGGAGGGGTAGGCACTTACCCCTCCACCAACCAATTTTTAACCAATGCCTAACCGCAACCTTACAAGTTGTGACGATTTGCTACGCAGTAGGCAAAAACCAAATGGCTCCAGCCAATCAGCCAAATGGACAAAATTCCTACCAGGCCCCTGCCCCAAAAGCAGGCGACCCCATGACAGGCATAGCAAGGTCAAGCGCAAATCCCCATTTCAGGGAAGGTGGGTGGGTGATCCAATGCACTCAGCAAAAGAGGACGCTCAAAGCTGCATGCCCAGTATTTAAAACCTTTTAGCCCAACCCCCAAATTGGCAACATCAAAATCCCCCCAGAAACACACACACCCAATCATAGCCTGTGGCCATCCAGCAGATCAGCCCAGCAACAGTGGGGTGGCCTGCTAGACCCCACCGCAACACGTGCTCTCTGCTAGTGAAAACACGCTATATGGAATAGTTGGAGGGCTGGTACAGAAGTCTATGAACTATTAGGCCGGAAGCCTCCATCTGGCTATGGTGTTTGACAATCTCTGACAATTGCTACAGCCAGCTGGTGAGTCCCATTTCAGCCTTCTCAATAGTATCTTAGGGGAGCACATTCTTAGGATTGTGAACTCCTAGGATTCACAAACTTTCATTTGCCGGTGGCTGTTTAAATAATAGAAATCATAATCAAAAGTTAAACTGAAAAATTGTGTTCTGTAGGGTTTAGGTTTCTCGGAAAAGAAATACAGATTAGACAAGGAGCGACAACGGCCGTGCAAATTTGTCATGGTGGTAAGAGCTTCAGGGAGGAAAGCACACATTTTGTGTATCATGCTTTGCAATGTATCACTGCTTGTTCAGGTGATCCAATATAAATGCAACTTTTTAGCACGTTAGTTACTTTGATTTAGCCATGCTGTGGAAATTGGAACAAAGTGTGTAATAAGACAGCTATAATCAGGATTTGCCAAGGTTTATTAACACCTTATCGGGGCTTTGGAAGGCTCACTGCAAACCCACTCTTTATTTGCATTATCTCACTTCATGAAATTTGAAAACAATCTAAGCTAAGGCACCCAGCGCGGCTCATTAGCTTTCCCAGAACACCAGCATTTGAAAGGACATCAGAAGAATAAATCAACTATGTGTAATTTTTTAAAGGTGTATGATTAATATATTTACATTTGAGATTCAGATTTTAATTATTTAGCTGCCTGTGTGACAGATACATAATGATTATTGGTGACTTCTACATGAATGTCATGCATAGCTGGTTCTTTTTTTGTAGTTGAGTTATTCTTTGGCAACAGAGTAGATGCAATGCTCTAGACTTTGATTTAACTGCTTTATGAAGCACTATTGGTAAATGTTAGACAAGTTTGGTCTTCCTGATACTCGTATGGGAGTAGCCCCCTTTCCTCCTGGCCTTTTGTGAAAGCTGCTATCCTTTTACTGATTCCTCGTTGCTACAGGTCTCCTTCACATGCCCAATGAAAGGGAGCCACTTCCCTGGAGAGAGATTCCATGTTGCTTGTAATGTGTGTGGATGAAACAACGATATGTGCAGAACCAATTAACCTGGTTTCTTTCATTATATTGCATTTTTATATGTTATCATTATATGTCATAATATTTGATGAATGGAATGCAACCACATTTTCCTGCATATGGTAACTGACATGTAGTGGTCCTTAGTACTGTATAGTATTTAATAGCTGACATGTATTTTCCGTCTGAAATCCTTTGACTGGTAACCTGCCAATTTTTTTCATCGTGTGACATTGAATTGACAGTTGGAAGAAATCAAGAGATCTAAAACAGCAGAATTTGAGTTCTGAAGTAACTTGTTCAAATTTAGAACAATCCACGTTTTGCATTTGGAATTTAGCATGCAGAATTTTAATAGCGAAATTTGGTGGACCTCCAGCCCCTTATGTTCATACAGAGCTAAAGGCATTTCTCGTCGTTTGACACTCCTATGGCTCTTTACTGTTTTGAAAGTTTAAGGCCATCACACTGCATCTTGAACAGATATCCTCATTGGAGGACTAATGGTAATAATAATTGTAATAATAATAATAATAATAATAATAATAATAATAATTTATTTATCCCCCCCCCCCGTGTTGGGTTGAAATCACGACAGACGAATGGTGGGTGTCAAAGGAGAGACGTCTGCCCGGGGCAAGTCCCGGGAACTCTCTTTTATTGAATATTACAAACATTGCCACAGGTGTGCTTGTGGCTGATTGGCTGATACAAACACAAAGCATCTTGTTGCTGATTGGTTAACATAGGTACAAGGCGGGAATAACATATGACATCAATCAGTGATAGTTCAAAAGACTGGGAACGGAGCTGGAACTAGACAGGCATGAAACCTCCTAATTAAATTATAACTAAAGATTGATATTGAGAGAACATAACATGAAGGAATACAACAATCACGTTCTGTAGATGTGGTCAGCAATGCATTAAGAACAGGTCAGGATACACTGTTTCATGAACTCAATGGGAACTGTTCAGAACATTCTCAGACTCTTGTGCAGAGGCAAAAACTTCCCAGAATGTAAGAGAGAAAAGAAGCAATAGTGCTCATAGTAAGCATAGAAAGATTTCATAGTAAGACTTCCCACAATGCAACAGTTATGTGCAGTAAGAGAACTGCAGAAAGAGAACTTCACAGTGAGAGAACTGCAGAAAGAAAACTTCCCTTCATCTCCCCTTTCTTTTCTTGTTTGCGAGGCATTCCAGGTGGATAAGGCAAAAATACTTCGGGATTAGTGGTGTGCCAGCGAATGCCCGAAATAAGCTTGCCAGGGTCGATGGGACAAAAGTACTTCAGGATACGTGGTTTGCCAGCGCATGCCCAAAATAAATCTGCCCACATCTCCCCTAAGGTTTACTGTTGGTGTTGCCATTTCGCAATGTAAGCAGCAAGGAGTTTACTGGGTGGTGGAGGGGGGGAGAGAAGCCGAGAGAAAAGAGTCATGAGGCTAGGAACGCATTGAAGAAAACAGCATAGTAAAGTTAATAAACATATTATAACAATAGCATATTGAAAAAGATTACGAAGCCAAGTAAGGTTTGGCAACCAAGCGGTAAGCCACTGGGTGAAAGAATCCCAGAGGCCAGGAAAACCAATGTCCTGTTTAATGTGATGTGTAAGATTTTGCAAATGAGAGATTTGACTTTGAATGGCTCTTGAATTGTCAGTAATATTGAAACAACACATGTCATTCACTTGTTCACAGCCATAATGATGAAGCATCAGCAAATAATCTATAGCACGATTTCGTAAAAGTCCATTATATAGTTCACTGTTCTTTATTCAAAAGGGGGTTATATAATGTAAAAAGTCCATTTTGTAAAAGGATTTTGTAAAAGTCCATTGTGGAGTGCACTGTTCTTTATTCAAAAGGTGAAGGGCTTGTGAAATATAATTCAGAGTTTTTTGCTGCATAACAAGCTAAAGAAGTAATGTTCACACGATTCCATACAGCCAATCCAGGGACTCCTAAGAGAGAAGCAACTAAAGAGATATATTCAAACCTACTGAGAAGAGAGACAAAAGCATCACAATCATTAGTCAATTCAATATTGCAGTGATATCGAGAGCGGGATAAATGATGCTTCTTGGGTAAAATGATGTACAAACGGCTTAAACAGCAAGGTGTGCCATGGCTGATGTATTGCTGGAATGTAATTAAACTTATAGCCAGGACACGACCAGAAGATTTCCAGTTGAGGGGAAGTGCAAGCTTACTCATTAAATTGAATGGTAGCTTGTAATTGTTGTAGTAAGTCTCTTCCCCACAGATTGAGGTGGATTTTCAGCACACAGGGCTGGATGTAAGCAATGGTTTCAGAGCTATCAGGCAGAGAAACAGGCAGCCACTGTACGCTTTTGGAAGAGGTTTGGGGGCCACCCACACCCCAGACTGCAGAGGCAGACTCAAGGGGCCACGTGGGGTCCCAGCAACTACTAGAAATTACAGAAACGTCTGCGCCTGTGTCAATCAAGCCTTCCAGCACAATACCATTGATTTTATACTTACGAAGAAGTTTCTTCTCACCAATCCTCTGGACTACAGCTAACAGCTGTGGAGGGAAAGAAGAGAGCTCGTGCAAATTAGTATCCATAATAGAAGCAGTAGGATGAGAAGGGAGCACCACCAAATGCGCCCAAGACTCACCCTTTTTAATTGCATGGGCATATGGCTCCAGAGTTGAACCATTATTGTGCCTACATAGTCAGGATCCAGAACTCCAGGAATAACCTGGATTCCTTCCTTTGCCGCAGAAAATTTGGGTAAAATTAAACCTGCGACCTTAGGAGGCAGGGGACCTGCCAATTGAGTGGGCATAAGCACAATTTCACCAGGTAGAACAGAATCTTTGGTCTCTTGATTGATCAAATCAATTGCAAATTCAGAGGGTGTGTTCTTTGAAAAGTTTGCAGCAGCAGAAATTAAAGGCGGAAAGCTCTCTAATTTTCCTGGGCTCTCTAATTTTCCTGGCCCGAGAGCGAGGCCGGGATGGAGTTTCCCGAACTCCTGCATTGATTAGCCCAATGATAGCCTTTGCCACATTTCGGGCATTTTTTAGAAGGTCTAGCTGTAGAGGTAGAACCGTCCTTGTGTGCCCCCCCCGGGTGGGGCTCTGCATTGCTTGGCAAAATGGCCTGGGCGCTTGCAATTAAAGCAGTTACCAGTAGGCTTAGTGGTTGCTTGGATTGCGCCGGCAAGCAAGGACATCGCATGGCTCTGGCTACCGACATCCGCACAAGCTTGAATCATATCGGCCAGTTCATATTTAGGGCGATGTATGATTGACTGCAAAGCTTTCTTGCAATCAGTGTTTGCGTTTTCAAAGGCCAATTTTTTCATCAATTCATTTTGAGCAGTGGTGTTATCAATCTGCCTAGTGACTGATTCTTTCAATCTATCTATAAACTGATGGTATGGCTCCGAATGCTGTTGCTTAATATTCACAAAGGAGCTCAGCGGTTGCCCAGAAACAGGGACTTTCCGAAAGGCGCGTTGTACACAGAGTCGCGGTGCGAACAAAATGTACAGGTGTCAGTGTTGCTTGGGCAGTTATATCAGCAAACTGACCAGCACCATAAAGTTCATTGGCAGTATGTTGAGGATCAGACAGGGCTGAAGCGCTATGTTTAAATTCACTCTCAAACACCACATACTGAGCAGGGGACAAAAGCATGCGCATCAGGTCTTTCCAGTCCTGAGGTAGCATAATGTAACCAGTTGCTATGCCTTCTAGCATCCCTGTCACATAAGAGGATTTCAGACCAGAATCAGCAATGGCTTTCCTTAATTCCCTCATTACAGAATAAGGAAGCGATTCATAATAAATCTGCTGTTGAGCAGTTCCAGGGTTTGAATAAGAGATAGGGAAAGCAGACGGCATTTCACCTGGCCACTCAGACTCCTCCTCTAAGGACAGGAGCCCTTTTGCCTTGCCAGAGAGAGCGCAGCACGCACAGCTCCTATAGAGCAAGCAGGGGCTGTGGCAGGAGGAGGAGGGATGGGGGAGGAATCAGGCTGAGGCGGAGGGATGGGGGGAGGATGCAGGCTGAGGAGGGTGAGAAGCAGGGAGGGATTGGCTGGGAGAAGGAGGTAAAAGTTTCGGGTAGGGTGGGGATTGTCTGCAATGGCCAGAAGAGGAGACGCCTGGGGTCCCAATTGGGGCCCTAATTTAGCAACGGCATCAGCACATTTCTGCCAAGTGAGAAGACAATGAATCGGAGCCCAAGTATCTGCAACACGGGTCTTTCCGAGCATTTGCCAAGTCTCTACGTCCAAAGATCCAGCCTCTGGATAAGAGAGGAAATTGGCAATAAATCTCACATAGCAATTGTTCAATTTCTTTTAAGGAAATATTAACACCCACCTCCCGCTGTCTAACTAAATAAAGCAACTCTTTAGCATGCTCTTTCTGGAGCTTAGTCAAGTCCCCTCCCATACTCACGAAGTAGCGCGCTGAGACTTTTCCAGTCGGGTGAAGTATGAGGTTTGGCTGCGTAAGGGATCTGGCACGTCGGGGTCACCAGATGTTGGGTTGAAATCACGACAGACGAATGGTGGGTGTCAAAGGAGAGACGTCTGCCCGGGGCAAGTCCCGGGAACTCTCTTTACTGAATATTACAAACATTGCCACAGGTGTGCTTGTGGCTGATTGGCTGATACAAACACAAAGCATCTTGTTGCTGATTGGTTAACATAGGTACAAGGCGGGAATAACATATGACATCAATCAGTGATAGTTCAAAAGACTGGGAACGGAGCTGGAACTAGACAGGCATGAAACCTCCTAATTAAATTATAACTAAAGATTGATATTGAGAGAACATAACATGAAGGAATACAACAATCACGTTCTGTAGATGTGGTCAGCAATGCATTAAGGACAGGTCAGGATACACTGTTTCATGAACTCAATGGGAACTGTTCAGAACATTCTCAGACTCTTGTGCAGAGGCAAAAACTTCCCAGAATGTAAGAGAGAAAAGAAGCAATAGTGCTCATAGTAAGCATAGAAAGATTTCATAGTAAGACTTCCCACAATGCAACAGTTATGTGCAGTAAGAGAACTGCAGAAAGAGAACTTCACAGTGAGAGAACTGCAGAAAGAAAACTTCCCTTCACCCCCGCCCATCTGGCTGAGTTTCCCCAGCCACTCTGGGCGGCTTCCAATCAAGTGTTAAAAACAATACAGCATTAAATATTACAAACTTCTTTAAACAGGGCTGCCTTCAGATGTCTTTTAAAGAGAAGATAGCTGCTTATTTCCTTCACATCTGAAGGGAGGACGTTCCACAGGGCGGGTGCCACTACCGAGAAGGCCCTCTGTCTGGTTCCCTGTAACCTCACTTCTCGCAATGAGGGAACCGCCAGAAGGCCCTCGGCGCTGGATCTCAGTGTCCAGGCTGAATGATGGGGGTGGAGACGTTCCTTCAGGTATACTGGACCAAGGCTGTTTAGGGCTTTAAAGGTCAGCACCAACACTTTGAATTGTGCTCAGAAACGTACTGGGAGCCAATGCAGATCTCTCAGGACCGGTGTTATGTGGTCCCGGCAGCCACTCCCAGTCACCAGTCTAGCTGCCGCATTCTGGATTAATTGCTATAGAGGTGATAAAATCAATCAACCACCTGAAAGCGCACAATGGGATTCATTTAGGCTAGATTCCACTGCACCAGGTGCCCATGACCACTAAACTTGTATGGATAGTGTCAACATTTTATATAGTTTAGTCACCAAGAGGCACTGAACCTAGTTATATCTGAGTGTGAAACAGTTATGTCCTGAGGCTGCTTGTGATGTAAGTACAATGTAAGTACATACCATATTTTCCCATGTATTGGATGAGGTTTTTTGACACAAAAATCATGTCAAAAAACTGGGGTTGTCTAATACATGGATAGTGGCATGAGGGGAGAGTTGCCGCTGTGCACAGGGAGCGATCTGGGGGTGCTGGCTAGTGGTGCGCAGCTTCTCCCAATGCTGCAGCGATCTGGTGGCATCTGCTGGCAGCGCGCAGCTTCCCCCAATGCCGCTGCGCATGGGAAACACTCCCTACCTGTGCACTGGAAATGATCTAGGGAGTGTTTCCTGCTCACAGCTGCTTGTGGGGATAGTCTCAACAACTTTGGGCCATCTCCCCTCATTTTGTTAAAACTGAGTCCCCCAAAATATGGGGGGTGTCTTATACACAGGGGGCATCTAATAGACGGAAAAATACGGTACATATTGAGCTGGAGTTCTGAATATTCAGCTTCCACCGAAACAGTACCTCCTATCACAAGCTGATGTCAGTCCCTTATTTCAGATTCATCAAGTGGTAATAGAGTCATGGAGATTTCTTTCTTGAACAGTAATGAACCTGGATCATAATCTGAGGCCCTTCTTTATGCACCTCCTCCATGATAGGTTTGGAAGGGTGGCAAAATGATAAGAGGCCTTTTCTGCAGTGGCTCCCCATTTGTGAAAATCTCTCCCCGGGGAGACTCGCCTGGTGCCTTTGTTGCATATCTTGAGGCGCCAGGCGAAAACATTCATCTTCTTCCAGGCCTTTGGCTAATTAAACAACCTTTTAAACTGTGTGTGGAAGGGCTATTGTTTTTGTTTGTTACTATGCTATGCATTCTTCTGTTTTTATATTGTAAACTGCCCAATGCTCCTCAGATGAAGGGCACTATAGAAATCTAATAAAAAACAAAACAAAAAATATTAAAATGATCTAACAGTGGAAATGACTGAGTGGATAGTTTGCCATTCATTTTTGAGCCCACTTAATCTGTGATCTCTGACTGTATTGTCATGTTTATAAAGTACTGTTTCTGTAGCCTCTGCGCATGTTTTCACATAACTTTGCCATATAACTGAAAACTTTTCCTCCCCATTTTTCCTTTTCATTTAATGTGCCCCTCACACTGTGATTGGGAAATCGCACAATTTTTACTCCTGTATGTTTCATTTAATTTGCCTTTTCAAAATGTTCTATCACTTAGAAAATGCTTGTCAGTGGAAATTACTGTTCAAGAAAGAAACCTACATGACTCCTTTATCACTTGATGAATCTGAAATAAGGGGCTGAAATCAGCTTGTGATAGGAGGCACCGTTTGGGAGGAAGCTGAATAATCAGAACTCCAGCGCAATATGTGTACAACTTTCTCAATAATGTGTGATATTTATATTGTGTGTTACATCGCAAGCGGCCTCAGAGTGTTTGACAATCTGCAATTTAGGATGACAACCGTGGGAAGAGCTGGGTTTCATTACTGAGGAGGGGAGCTATGTAGCCAGAGTGGGAAGCGGAGGCAGAACATAACTGTTTTAAATGCAAGTGCACATCCCAGTCCTTTTTAATATATTTTGTATGTTGTCATTGGAGCTAGAACTACCGGGGCAGACCCACTCCACCCCCCAGAACGCCTCAGCAGTTCTTTAAGAAATCCCTCCAAAATATAAAAGCCGCACCCACATTCCTGTCCAACACACACTTTATTCTTCTGTCTGACGAGCTCTGAAAACATTTCTGGCGATCTGTTGTTCTCTGACTGGTTGAGTCTCTGCAACCAGTTGTAATCCAGAAGTATAACTATTGCAAAGAGGTCTCTCCCAAGTGTCTCTAAGCAGAAAAACAACAACTGTGACTGATCAGGCTGGCTGAAATTGAGCCCTACATGGAAAGGCTCCTATTCCAGCACTCAGTACGTTTCCGAGCACAATTTAAAGTGTTGGTGCTGACCTTTAAAGCCCTAAACGGTCTTGGTCCTGTATACCCGAAGGAGTGTCTCCACCCCCATCGTTCAGCTCGGAAACTGAGATCCAGTGCCGAGGGCCTTCTGGCAGTTCCCTCATTGTGAGAAGTGAGGTTACAGGGAACCAGGCAGAGGGCCTTCTCTGTAGTGGCGCCCGCCCTGTGGAACACCCTCCCATCAGATGTGAAGGAAATAAGCAGCTATCCTATCTTTAAAAGACATCTGAAGGCAGCCCTGTTCAGTGAAGTTTTTAATATTTAATACTGTACTGTTTTTAACACTTGATTGGGAGCCGCCCAAAGTGGTTATTATTATTATTATTATTATTATTATTATTATTATTATCTGTTGTTACGAGACCTTTCCAGCAATCTCAGGGATGGCTTTATAGGGCTGCCTTGAAGAGCCTGTTCAGTACATTTTCCTAAAGCATGCTTCCTCAAACTCAGCCCTCCAGGTGTTTTGAAACTACAATTCCCACCATGCCTGACCACTGGTCCTGCTAGCTAGGGATCATGGGAGTTGTAGGCCAAAAACATCTGGAGGGCCGAGGTTGAGGAAGCCTGCCCTAAGACCACACTCACACCTCAAAACACATTCTGTGTCGCTAGCCAGGAGAAGGTTGTGGCTGCTTGTTTGTGTCCCACCCTGCCATGGGCCAGGAGTCAGCTTCGCCTGTTGAAAAGCAGCCTGAAGGGGGAGAAGGCAGAGTGACTCCACCTGCAACTTATCAGTTTTCAAGGACAAGGAGGAAAAGGCCCTGATGAGAACCAGCTGGCTCCAGCCTTCTTAAGCAGAGCTTCCAGCAGCTGCAAGATATGGTAACAACACTTGTATTTCCTGGCTCTACCTTGCTGCTTCCTGGTCGTTTTGATCCTTGACCCCCTGGTCACTGGATTCCTTGGCCCCTGGAGCATCTGACCACATGGATTGCTGTTTGCCCGACCCTAGGACTCGACCTAACTTCGGATGCTGACTCTGCCTCCAGGCAAGTACACCTCAGAGATTCTTCTGGCTGGCTGGACTTCCACTCCACTGTTCTCTGCACATGGTTGCTCAGTAATGAGACTATGACCCCCCCCCCAATTTGCAAAGAAAGCACATTGGTAGCGAGAGTGTACATTTTTCTATGCTATCTGTTTTTTCCTTGCTCACTTGCAATTATTTTTGTGAAAACGGGAGAAGGATTGGGACAAAATGGAAGGTGGCTTCTATGTATATTGCAACTTTCAAGTCTTTCTATAGGAGCTGTAGGTTTGTGTGTGTTTCTGGGTTTCAGAGAAATACAGAACTTTTGCATTCCTGTTATCAAATACAAACTGAGGCTTCTCATTGGTGAGACAGGGGCAGGTTGAAAGGTGTGGGACAGAAAAGTTGCTTATGCTTGGGTGGGAGGAGGAGGTGTGCCCCAGTAGGCTAGCTTCCACGGTCCCACACTCTGTGGCATGACACTAATATGAGAAGGCTGGTACTAACATTCTTACTCTTGTTAGAGAGGAAACAGGATGGAGTGCTTCTTCCTGTACCTTAATCCTCTTTAAGACTTTATAATAATGGTGCCAACATAAACTGCCTTGGCCCAGAATACATGAAGGAGCATCTCCACTCCCATTGTTCAGCCCGGACACTGAGGTCCAGCTCCGAGGGCCCTGAGAGAAGTGAGGTTACAGGGAACCAGGCAGAGGGCCATCTCGGTAGTGGCGCCTGCCCTGTGGAACGCCCTCCCATTAGATGTCAAGGAAATAAGCAACTATCTGACTTTTTAGAAGGCATCTGAAGACAGCCCTGTTTAGGGATGTTTTTAATGTTTGATGTTTTATCGTGTTTTTAAAATTCTGTTGGGAGACACCCAGAGTGGCTGGGGAGGCCCGGCCAGATGGGTGGAGTATACGTAAAAAATATTATTATTATTAATGATTATTATTAATTCAAAGAACTGTGCCCACTAGAGATGGGGCCATTTTTCAACAGATGGCAAAACCAAAAATGATGAACAGGTGGAGGGGGACATATGCATCCTGATAATCTTGCTGGTTTGGAAAGAATGGACAAAAGCACTCTCCTCTCACCAATGCAACAATGGCACTCAACAACACCAGCTCATCAAAAGGAGACACACACACACAACCTCAACACAGCAGGCAAATTCCTGAAGATCATTGATTGCTGGCAGAAGTTGCTTTGGCAGGCGGGGGGGGGGGGGAGGTTATGCAACCCTGCTGCAACAGAATGTTCCAAATATTGAATCATAGAATCATAGAGCTGGAAGAGACCACAAGGGCCATCGAGTCCAACCCCCTGCCAAGCAGGAAACACCATCAGAGCACTCCTGACATATGGTTGTCAAGCCTCTGCTTAAAGACCTCCAAAGAAGGAGACTCCACCACACTCCTTGGCAGCAAATTCCACTGTCGAACAGCTCTTACTGTCAGGAAGTTCTTCCTAATGTTTAGGTGGACCCTTGTACTGTTTACATTATTTACCCCTGAACTGTGTGCATGAAAAGTAGGCAACCTTTTGCCCCCAAGGGCCATATGCAGTGGCTGGGGTCTGCATCCCAGCAGACACTGTATGCTGGGGGACATTCTCATTCTCACAGAGAGAGATATTGCTGGCTATGATGGAAGAGAAGATATGCTTTTCCCCACTGCTGTTGCACTCCCCTCATCCCTTCCCATAGCTGTTTGGTAGGCTGTGGTACGTTTGGTTTAAATGCAGAGGAAGGCACATGAAGCTGGCTTTACCCACATACCTTCCTCTTTGCTACAGTTGTGCGAGAGAAGCATTGAAACCTGAAAGCATCAGTAGCCAAGTCAACGCAGAGGAGTTGGGGCATAGCAGGGGCAACACAATGGGGAAAGAGAAAGCGGAATCAATTAAATCGGAGGGAAACTGGCAATAGCGTTGGCAGCAAGATTCTGCAACAAATTCAGTATTGGTGGTAACAATGGCAACAGGCAATTGGGAAGAGGAAGACAAATCGAGCATGGAATACTGGGGTGGAAGGAGGGGTTTTGTGCCTCTACCCTGTGATGCCTCATGGAGTGTATGAATTGGAGCTTAATGATGCTGAATTGTGTGAGTTGATTGCTGAATTGTGTGCACTGGTTCCAATGAACACAATGCGTGTGTAATGAAATTAAGGTTATTTCTGTGGTGATTAATTTCTGTGATGGTTCATTAGCACATGCAGACCATCACTTGAACATGTATGAATAGGTTGTAAGTCAACACTTAGTATGATCTACTTGAGTGTGCCTTTGTGTCCATCACCCCTCAAAAAAAAAAGGTCTCCTTTTAAAGGCTGTGTTTATATAAGGAAAAATGTATTATATATCTAGAGACTTTTAAGCAGAAGAATCTTCTCTTTTGTAATGTCCACGCTTTGAGTATATACACTCACAATTGCAACAAGGGTAAGTGTTATTTAAATAGGACTGCTGTTAAATTGTAATTTGCATGTCTGTTTGCATCGCTTTACCTCCATTTACGTTGTGAGGAGAGCTGAAAGAGAATTATGGTCTGTAGCCCATGGAGTAATTGTTCGTATGAGTATTACCTAACTTAGCATTCCTTCCCTGTTTTTGAATTTTCAAAAACTGTTTAGATTAAGCTATCAGAGCACAAAATATATACCATCTGAGCCTTCATGCTCTGCTAACTTCCAAAGTGACTGAATGGATTTTCTTCAAACTTTCCAAACAAAAATTTACCTGTGAGCAGCCTGAACTCAAGAAAGGTAAAACAAAGTAACTGTGTTCCTGCTGCTAGTCAAAATATCTTGGTAAAAGTGAAAAATAGAGGCCTCTTAAAGGTACATGTTTACTTTTAAGGCTTCTCTAATTCTTATGTTGTCCTCTTATAGGGAATAGTTACCTTTAACTTTTTTATGGGACGCGGGTAGCACTGTGGGTTAAACCATAGAGCCTAGGACTTGCCGATCAGAAGGTTGGCGGTTCGAATCCCCACAACGGGGTGAGCTCCCATTGCTCGGTCCCTGCTCCTGCCAACCTAGCAGTTTGAAAGCACGTCAAGTGCAAGAAAATAAATAGGTACCGCTCCAGCGGAAAGGTAAACGACATTTCCGTACGCTGCTCTGGTTCGCCAGAAGCGGCTTAGTCATGCTGACCACATGACCTGGAAGCTGTATGCGGACAAACGCCGGCTCCCTCGGCCAATAAAGCGAGATGAGTGCCGCAACCCCAGAGTCGGCCGTTACTGGACCTAATGGTCAGGGGTCCCATTATCTTTAACTTTTACCTATAGAGAATGGGGGGGGGGAATAAGATAGCTTTTCCTTTTAATAACTTACAATTTTTAATAGCTATCCGTTATCTCACACTTTCCTTGGATTCTTGAGGCCTTGACTACATGAAAATACATTTGAAATGCTTTGCTTAATTGATTTGTCTGTTAGAATCAGATTATTAACTAAACAACATTTCACTCAGTGATAACACTTTTCAATAGTAAATAGTCTCTTGCTGTTTAAAAGAAGCATTTGGATGTTAATGGTCTGAACATTTTGAAAAGTGCAATTTATTTTACATGTATGATCACTTGACCTGTGTTCAGTCCTTAATTCGGCACCAGAAGTTAGTGAATTCTCTGTCGCCTTCCCCTACCTAAATTGTGAATGCTTTCATATTTCTGGGTTGAAGCTACCCTTTGCCTTCTGCAGGTGGAAAGGGTTCTTCCATCCATTGAAGACTTTTGATCTGGCAGAGATATCTTGCTGGCAGAGAGGGAAAGAGGTGTTTTTGGCTGAATTCCCATTCTCTTTTCAGCTGGCAGTATATCTATAAAAGGGTGCCGGGGTTGAAAGGGAAGGAAGAAATTGGCAGAATAATCCTATTCAAGGGATGCTCTTACTTATGGGAGGAACATCTGGATTCAATCCACAGTCCTGACCACCTTGCTCAGAATGTCTCACTCTGAGGAAGGCTCCCTCATGGCTGTTTTTGAGAGCAAAGCAAGGAGGCAGGGGAGGCAGAGAGACTACCACCATTAAATCACTTGTAAAATGTAAGTAAGTAGGGAGTGAAGAGGAAATGGGGCTGGTGAGCTGGAAGCAGTGGAGTAGCGTGGGGGGTGCAGGGGGGCTGGCCGCACCGGGCGCAACATCGGGGGGGGGGGCACTCGCACTCGCAGCTCTCTGCCCCTACCTGGCTCACTCAGGGTTAGGGGGCGCAAATTACTTGCCTTGCCCCGGGTGCTGACAACCCACGCTACGCCACTGGCTGGAAGAGGAGGCGACATCACTCAGCTCAGGCAACTTAATCACTTGTACCAGCCCTGTCAGTTCTACTTCTCAACCCTGGTTTTCCAGCTGAATTTCATTTCACCCCTTCTTTTTGGTCACTCGTGTGTTCTCTTGCTTCTCTTTTGCTTCTAGTGAATTTCAGAGGCAGAGGCAGATGGGGGCAGCTCTTTGGAAATGTTGGAGAAATTTGGAATTGACTGGATTTTCAAAAATTCACTCTGGCATTTTGAAATGTTGATTTTAACATCTGTTTCTTGGAGCTAGTCTTCCCTTGAGTTTAGAAGTTCTGCTTACCTATCAGTTCTATGGTTCTTTTAGAATCATAGAATTATATTGCTGGAAGGAAACTAGGAGATCATTTTTTTTCCAGAGCTGAAGAGCCATTACTGGGAATGTAAAAAATATAAAATCAAAATAGGGATTTGTTTGTTTGCTTATTAGTAAACTGTAGGAAGAATTCGCTTGATATTTTCCTCTAAATTTGTTTTATCTCTGTCCTACAGCCCCTACTTTTATCAATAGCTAATTTATTACACTGGTTTTACAGGGTTGTTCTCTTACGAGGTTAAGTTGATAAAATGCAAACCCTTTGGCTCTTATGGTACCTTGTACTCCGACTAAAGCTGACATAAGTGGTCAGTGAATCACCTTTTAAATTTCAGGAATGATTGCCAGTTTTTAATTAACAGAGGAGCAATCAATATTGCCATTCATTTCAATTTACTTCATACCAATAGGGATGTCAGAAAGTGATCAGGTTGGGAATTATGTTTACAGTGTTTAATGGTGCGGTTCACTAGAAGTGCTAATTAACCGCCAAATGGTACTCACTGCCCTTTAGTAACAAGTCTTTTAACTTTCCTATTCAAAAGAAGTAATTGTGCCATTTCTCAGGACTGCTGCAATGTCTTACCAATAGACCAGCTCCATTAATCATACTAATGCAGAGTAAGTGATTTCAAGCTTATGTTTTAATCATTTTTTAGTTGGCTTATTGTATGTGCAACATGCCCTTCGTTCACTCCTTTGTGCATGCATATTATTGTACCCAGGTAGTAAGAGAAGAGAATTTAATCATTTTTAGTATTGCCAGGACGTCGTCAGCATATAACACAGAGATTATTTAAACATGCTTATTAGCTTATTAACAAGCTTTTAATATTCCATGTTTGTGTGTCTGAATACCAGTGGTCGGTTGCACTGCCCACCCATGGTGAACTGATGAGGACTAAGCTGCAACTTCCCCAGTTTTAACTGTAACATTCTAAAAAGAAGCTAATTTGGTGGGCTAGAAATTAGGCTTTACAGGTACAGTGGTACCTTGGTTTACGAACTTAATCCGTTCTGGAAGTCTGTTCTTAAACCAAGGCATGCTTTCCCATAGCAGCAGGGGACTCAATTTACAAATGGAACACACTCAACAGGAAGCAAAACATGTTCTTATTCCAAGGCAAAGTTCACAAACCAAAACACCTACTTCCCGGTTTGCAGCGTTCTTAATCCAAGTTGTTTATAAACTAAGCTGTTCTTAAGCCAAGGTACTACTGTACTCACCTTTCTCAACACAATTTGACACCATTGCTTCCCCTACTGCTGTGTCAGTGTCACATTTTTCCTCCAGCTGCTGCAACTTTCTCCTTGCTGAATTAGTCAGTGGGTGGTGATCTCAGTCAGTTAGGTATCATGCAACTGGCACTACATACCCAATCAAATTGGACTACATGGTAATGTCGTTCAGGGAAAATAAGAGAGGTTGAAAGTGAGCACTAATGAAAGCAAATCACACATGCGATCCTAACCCATTAGGGTGTCACAATGCCATGTAGCCTAATAATGTCTCTGAGAACAAGCCAAAGGAAAGAATGCTAACAATGTAAAAAGCAAAACACAAAAAACAAGAAAACATTTGTTTGTTTGTTTTTCCCCCCAGAGTGTTGCCAAAAATCATTAAGAAGGGGGTGGGTGTTCTTACAACTGCCAAAAATGTCTGTGGAAAAATATGTGAGTAGTTTTAGCACACCACTAGCATTGACAATTCACAAACAATTTGTCTTCTAGTCAAGAAGCCATTTGCTGTTATCTTAATTCCAAACAATGTGCAAAGTTTATTAACCATCTGGGTTAATTCCATGTATCCCTGCTTTATTAACCATCTGGGTTAATGCAATGTATCCCTGCATTTTAATCTCAACACAATGGATTTTACTGAGATTAATCCTACGGGTGGATTTCTAGCCTTATTTTGCCTTTGATTAAAATGAAACAATTTAGCTCCCCCCCCCCTCAAGTTTTACCAAAATGGTTCAACAGTGCGTAAACAACACACTGTATGAACAATAAAGTCTATCATAAAATACACTATATTAAGTTTACTCAATTAACCTAGTGTGAGGAGTTTGTTTTCCCCCCCAAATGGTGCACATCTACCATGAAGTAAAGAATAGAAACTCCGTTATTTGTGTGTTCAGACCCAGAAACCTCCCCCCTAAATAAATTCACACTTTATTCAAAGTTTAGGTTTGGTTTTTGGCAGAATTTAGGCCACAACTTTATTGATGACTGGTTGCATAGGCTCTGGTTCGACTAGCTCCCTGCCATGCAGGTAGCGCTGACCCAGGGCACCAGCATAGGTCAGCCAAGGGTGAACACCTGGATAAGTGGAAAGCCAGGAGCAGGGTATCTCCCCCACCCAAATGTCCCCCTGGACTAAGGCACGGGCACATCCCCCTCTCAGGGGTTGACCAAACCATCAAGTTCCTGGATTCCTTTAAAGAAATACCCTTCACAAAGGGATGGCGAGAGCGTTCTCCCATCCCTATCACCTGAACCAGAGCCTGTCTGCAACTTTACAAGTTGTGATGATTTGCTACATGGCAGGCGAAACCCAAATGGCAACAGCCAATCAGCAAAGTGGGGGAAATTCCTGCCGTGCCCCTGTCCCAATGACAGACGACACACGACGGCATAGCAAGGTCAAGCACAACAGGCTCTAAAAATAGGTAGAGGTGGGTGGGTGTTCCGAATGTACGCGCCGCAAGAGGAAGCGCTGGGTCATGGGCATGGGCATAAATAGGTCCCTCAAACCGTTTGAACTGTGTCCCATTGGCCAGATTGTACCCAGCTTCGAGGGACCTACCAATCGGGTGTTGTGGCTTACCAATTGAACCCACCCACAACACAGGGTGCCTGTTGTCCAGGTCTCACCGCAATACGTGCCCTCTTTAAGGGAGGACCCGATTAACTAGCAAAAAACCAGTTAAATGGATTGGGATATGTATAGAAATATGTATAGAATTTGGCTGCTCAGTGACCCTGTTTGATTACAGGAGAGCTAGTAATAGAATGTTACATGAAGAAATTTTTAAACAGAATTATTTAGTACTTTCACACTGAAAGAGATAAAAATAACATAACATATGGCTGAGGTATGCACTAATGGACGTTTATAGCTTGTTGATTTGTATGCATGCATAAGAGAATAGGATGCTCATATATATATTGTAGGCTGATAAATTGGCATCCATCTGTCTCGGGAGACAACGGAGGAGTGTGCCTTTGGGGTTGAAGTCGAAATGTTGGAAGGTTACAGCGCCTGCTGTGGCTGTTGAGGCGCAGGTGGGTTTCTTTCTTTTCTTTCTTTCCTGGTGCAGAAGTTCAGTCTACTTGTTGAGTGATACTCTCAGCTCCAAGCACCCCTTGAAGTGGTGGGTCAGCATTTTATTAATTGGGGCCACCTGGCTTCAGGTAGGCAGTAGCTGACCAATTATATAAGATGATAAATTATAAAAAAGGAACTGTGCTGTGATTCTATTACATGCACATTTATGTTATACATACTGCTGGGGTCCTGTCTGGTTAATCGGGTGTTTCATTCCATTTACTGATTTATCAACTAAATATTGCAGCTCTAGAGCCAGTGCCAACTTTCTTTCTTTGCCTGCTTGACTCAGTTTTTCCTCCTCTTAGTCTTTCTGCCACCCTCCCAACCGTTCTTTGAGTGCTCTGTTCACTTCCAGAGGAACTTACCGTAGGCCCCCAACATCACTCTCCCCTTGTTTGCAGTCTTGGGATGGATCTAAAAACAGGGGGGAAATAAGTCAGAAATTAGATTGTTTTAACAAAAGGAAAAAGTATCTATGGAAAATCACGTTTTAAAATTTTCTGCTCTCTGGCACCATCTGGTGTCGCATGTTCATACTGCAGTCAAATCACTGTTTCTTTACTAATGTAGCTGAATCCTTACTCTGCTGTTGCCCATTCCTGTGTGGTCATGTTACTGAGGTAAAAAGCAGTGCCTTTGTGACATCATCAATCATTGCACCAATCCACTTTCTTGCTTCAGGCCTTTTTGTTCTTTAACTTAGTTGGTTACTAGGCATTCATGAAGGTGAGTTGAAGGTTGTAGGCTGGTGTGATAATCATTAGTTTCACGTGGAAATTCCCCACAAAGCAGGTGAAATTACTTCAGTTCTCCCATGTAGTTACTTGTGATGCCCAGAACTCAACAATTACTTGTTCCAGGAAGACATATGTATTTTTCCCATTCCAGTGATGTGGTTTGAGAAGAGGACTGACTTGCTCACAGATGCATTCACTAACATCTGAAACCTTACTGCTAATACAGTATCAATACAGATCACCAACATAAGTGACTGACAGTCCAAGGCTTGATAGTGGAGACTCTGTAGTCTCTATAGTATGGAGGAAGGGGAATTAAATGTTGCCCCAGACACCCCGGGTGGCTTCCAGCAAATTAAAACATCAAAAACAGTAAACATGTTAAATTTCCCTATACAGAGCTGCCTTCAGATGTCTTCTAAAAGTCAGATAGTTGTTTATTTCCTTAACATCTGATGGGAGGGCATTCCACAGGGTGGGCGCCTTCTGCCCCATATCTCACACTATTCTGGAGGGTGCGCCTGTCCTCAGGGGGAGGTTTACTATGTGGGGAAGGAGGATGCAGAAGGTAGGGTAGATAGAAAAAAACCAAATCCTTGCTTTGCATGGGCAAAAGTGCTCTCCTCCACCATTGGATACAACCTAACAAACCTATACAGTGGTACCTCAGGTTACAGATGCTTCAGGTTAGAGACACTTCAGGTTACGTACTCCGCTAATCCAGAAATAGTACCTCTGGTTAAAAACTTTACCTTGGAATGAGAACAGAAATTGCACGGCGGCAGTGGGAGGCCCCATTAGCTAAAGTGGTACCTCAGGTTAAGAACAGTTTCAGGTTAAGAACGGAGCTCCGGAACGAATTAAGTTCTTAACCCGAGGTACCACTGTACTAAAAGTGCATACAGAAATCTTATGTCAGACCCCAAAGGCAATATTGGAATACTTTGCAACCCGCCCCTAAAAAAGACCTTAAAACTGAAGTCTACTTCATGAGGAGCTCATTACCAAATCTGAGAAGAACATTTGTAAAAAATAAAAATAAAAATAAAATCCTGCTAGATAGAAGTGACTTCAAGTAGGGCCAGTCTCACCCAATTATTTGTCTGGGACTTGTCACTGGCACTAGATCATTTGTGAGCAGCTGTAAATCACACAGTGCTAAACTTAGAACTAAAGATGCATTTTTGTTATCTGGGTTTGTTTCTGATTATGTTTATGCATCCTGTATGTATAAATTATTACCTGATTGGGTCTTCCATCTAATCACCGAGGAATGAGACTTCGAGGTGTTCAGGCAGTACTTGTCATTATTTAAAATGTCAATAGCAGGAACTGACATGTTTACTGTCAGTGCTTTCTGTGCCATTAAAGCTTGCGGTGATTTTCACTGCCCCCTTCCCAATTTCCCCACTCCCTCCAACATTTGACTTGCTTTATTGATTAAGTGGCAAAATGTTATGCCCAGTGATCAAATTGGTCAATTATGTACATCCACCAAAAGCAGTAAAAATGCTGAATGCTGTACTGAAGGCAGAGGAAGCTTAAATATCGCCTATGGTTTAAAGAAAGCTATCAGGACTCTAAATTTGAAATTCTTCCTTCAATATTAGCTACTGGGTATGAAATTAAAAATAGGATATCTGTGGGTTTGTTGCCTTTAACGTTTCCATTTTATAATTTCTAACTATCTTGGGTAGTTAAAGATTTCAAGAAATGGCAAAATACAGAATGATTCATGATGTCATTCTGTCCATTGAGGTCACATTTGAGGAAGCAAGAAGGCCTCCACATTTCCAATATTTTCAAATTAATATTTTCAATACAAAAATATGTGGAAGTCAAGAAAGAGAGAACATAGGACATTATGATTATATCTCATTTGGATAAAGGCATAATTGCAAGGTTCTATGACATTTGGTTAACTTTGGATCAGAAGCAGAATACATCTATGAGAAAACGGGTATAAGATTTGGATAAGAGATTAACCAGGTAACAATGGAACTGGGTTTGGGACAACTTCCATTCCAATATAATTTCAGAAGACCTAAAGGAGAACTCTTCTAAAACCCTCTATCAGTGGTATTTAAAACATTACAAGATGAATAAAATACACAAGTTAGGGTCAGATAAATATTTAGATGTGGATTAAACAAAACAGATTACATATATATTTCCAGGAATTGTTCTCAAATAGAAATATTTTGGAAATCATTTCAGGCTAATATCTCTTGTATGTTAGGGTACCATATACACTTTCAGAGACACTAGCTTCTCAAAGTGATTGAGGGGACATCACATGATGTTCTGACATCATGAGTGCAATGTCCCACAAAGTTGCAAAGATCCAGGGGGTGGGGCCAAGTGCCCTCTGAACAATGAGGGGTCCCTCTCCCTCAAAGAAATTGGAGGGGGGAGGAATTGCTGTGGCCCCAGAACCTATGTACCCTTTGAACCTGAAATATTTCTGCTTGGTTATCTAAAATACGTTATTCTGGAAGCTGATCAAGAAACAATGTTCAACCTAATAACTGCTGCTAAGATTATCATACCTAAGAATGGGGGGGGGGGGGAGAGAGAGAGAGCATATCTCCTACTGTAGCTGAACTAATTGAGAAAAATTGGTCCATAGTAACTATGATTAAGCCAGCATATTATAAAAGAATACATATAAATCAGCCTAATGGGGCTATGGAGAAATGGGTATTTTTTTTTGTAATGTTTTGGAACAATAAGTTCAGTGATAATGTCCAACCTTTTACTGCTTTCAACCTGCTCTAATAGTATTTATTTATGTTCCTTAACTTTGCTTATTTGTGTGTGTGTACACACAGACACACACAGACACACACACAAACACAGCTAAACAATGTTGAATGCCTGAAACCAATGTGTGTAGTGCACTATGGGCACAACAAAGTATATATATAATTGCTTCACTGATTACCCAGATGACCAATTTGGTTTTAGCTTTGGCTGACCACTTTACCACCAAGCATTATTTGAAGGCTTTGCGATGGTGCGATAACTTTACTTTGATTTAGAATACAATTGCATATAAATTTAATAAATAGTAATAATAACAGCAACAGGGCTTTAAGGAGAAGATGACAAGGCTACCTGTTATGTTTATGACACCAAGAGGTTGATTTTCCACTTCGTTTTTAAAAAAATATACATTTATTTATTTACTTTTTAAAAAGACTTTTTTTAAAGATAAAGAAGAGCTTCCTCTAAAAACAGCAGTGACCCCACTAGTCTCAGTAAGTTGCTACCCAGTCTCTCTGGCTTTCTAGGCGTTGATTAAAGCTCACAGCCAGAGGTAACTTGCCTCATGGGGCTTGTTATGTACTGAAGTTCTCACCCTGGGCCCGCAGGGGGATACTGTTGATAGTTATGCAAATAAGGGATCGAAAGTGAAGTTCAGTGATTGGATAGTTTTAGAAAATTGTTACAGTTACGTTGTACTGGAGCTCTATATAAGCAGGCTGACTGAACCCTTCAGTTCAGTTCTGTTCTGGCCTGTGAATAAACAAGAGCTGTTTGAAGAATTGCTGTGTCGTCTGATATGTTCACCCACAACTTAACAGGGCTCTTTCAGATCAGGAAGCATAGCATCTGGGGAGGCTGCAGAGCACTGGTTAAACGTTTAATGGAAAGATGGGGAAAACACTGCCCACAGCAACCTTGCAATGATAGGGTAAGCTGTTGAGTTATAAAGAAATTTTGATTAGATTCTAAAGTGCCATGAAAAAGAGGCAGGAAATCTTTTGCAGGGGAAGAAAACTTTTGAGAACCTGGAGGACAGATTTTGGCACAGCATTACCAAAAATGGCCCCCCTTTCCCCTGTTCTGCTGGTGGATGCCTGTTGTTAGTGTAGGGCAGTGTTTCCCAAACTTGGGTCTCCAGCTGTTTTTGGACTACAATTCCCATCATCCCTGACCAGCTGGGGATGATGGGAGTTGTAATTGTAAGGGAACACACTGGATACCCCCATACTTTGTATTTACAACCATTTTGTGCAATAGGGTAGGCTGTGAATTGTGACTGGTGAAGCCCCACACAATGAGTTTCATGGCTGGGCAGTACTAAAGCCCAGGTCTCCCTATTCTAGCACTGTATCCATTATAGCACAGCCAATTTATAAAAAAGTACCACTACTTGAAAATCAGGGTTTGAAAGATTTGGCACGTGCAACGAAGGAATTAAATCTTCCTTCAAGCTGCAATTCAGTGTGCTCATCTCTCTCTCTCTCTCTCTCTCAGTTCCTGTATCCATCAAAATTTGAGTGCGTAGTGGATGCAGTCAAAAGTTCATCCTCCTGACCCAGAATTTGTTTCCAGCACTGTCTAGGCAGATGCCTCTCAGATGCTAACATGAAGGCTCAAAGGCTACCTCACTCCTCCTTTTTGTCTTATAATTTGTTGTTTAGAGATATATTGGATTTAAATAGCATTGTAAATGATTGCTTTTCACTGTGTAAATTACCATATGCACAGATGGCACTGATGATGATGGGGATGGCTTGCCCCTTCCCACTGTACAAGTCTATGTTTCTATGATTATGACAGCAGCATGTTAATCCTTCAGGCTATCATCTCCTCTTTAATTAAGCTCCTGTACATGCATGGCGGGACGCGGGTGGCGCTGTGGGTTAAACCACAGAGCCTAGGACTTGCCGATCAGAAGGTCGGCGGTTCGAATCCCCGCAATGGGGTGAGCTCCCGTGGCTTGGTCCCTGCTCCTGCCAACCAAGCAGTTTGAAAGCACATCAAAGTATAAGTAGATAAATAGGTACCGCTCCGGCGGGAAGGTAAACGGCGTTTTCGTGCACTGCTCTGGTTCGCCAGAAGCGGCTTAGTCATGCTGGCCACATG